GGGGGGAGAGAGAGAGAGAGAGAGAGAGAGAGAGAGAGAGAGAGAGAGAGAGAGAAAGAGGACAGGCCACTCTGGCAGTGGCCTAGCTTTCTCCCACATGACCCTGTGCCTTGAGGGTTCCACCCATCACTCCTGCTAGCAGTATCAGCTGGAGACCAGGCCTTCCACACAGGACCATCAGTGGGACATTCATGATCCCAATTGTAACGACATGATGTCCTTAATCCCTTTTAATAAACTTTAAAGACCCACTTCCCAATACTACCACAGGGACAATCAAAATTGATATAATGGTGGTGGCAAAACCCATATTTAAACTACAGCAGTATCTAATGGAAAGGTAGACAACATGAAAGATCAGAAAGATGAAAACCAGTGGACAGAACCAAATGGAAATGCTAGAAATAAAAAATATACATTAACAGAAATGAGAAATATATTTGACAAACTCATTAGCAAACTTGCTATAGCCAAGGGAATAATCAGTTACTTTTAAATAACTGTATAAAATTATACAGAGTAAGATACAATAAGGAAAAGAGAAGTAACAAAAATTTTTTGAAAATAAAAGTATAAGATGGGCTGAGGACACAGCACAGCAGCATAAGCACCTGCCTGGCAAGCTCAAAGTCCCAGATTTGGTCCTCAGTACCAAAAAAAAGAAAGAAAGAAATATGATATAAGATGGTTTTAGAAAGCTACACAGTGACATTCAACATAGATTCGACAACCCATGGCTTCTCTGTTCCATTTTGGATATTTTCTGTTAAGTATAATATTAAATTAACTTAATAAATTATTTTTTATTAGTTTTCTGTTTTTAACTTTGTATTTTGAGACAATTGTAGATTACCAAGGACTACAAAAAGTAATATACAAAAAGATCTCTTATATCTGTCACTCTTTTTCCTAAGTAGTTGCATCTTACGTGACTACTATAGAATATCAAAACCGGGGAATTACCACAATGCCTTTAAAGCCTGCCTCCACTTCTACACAGTCAAATTGTCCTTTTTCTCAAGAGTCATTTATGAGTTAACCCAACGAATCAGTATTATCAGCATTAGAATCTTCCAGTCCTATGTTGCCAATGCTTTCTAAGAGAGAATCAAGGTTTCAGTGGTCATTGCTATTGTATAGAGTATTTCTTCTCTAGAGTTTGAACTCAGGGCCTTTGCACTGAGCTACACTCCCAGTATATTTTCAAGTTTTATTTTTCACAAAGTCTCCATGTAGTGCTAAATTGCTCCAACTTTTTACACCCTGCTGCAGTCTCTCTAGTGTTGGAATAAAAGTATGTGCCCCAGGTTTGGATATCACTGTGTGTGACGATTGGTCCTCTGACATTTTTTAGTCTTGTCTTTGGTGAGTGGTACCTGACAGCTGCACACTTTTGTCCCTTATTTTTCAACCCATATCTGTGTCTTCTCTGCTGTGTATACTTCTTGAAGGTAAGAAGTATGAATTGTGTTTTCCATTCTGAAGTCCAGGACCATGACTACAAAACTGTTATTAAGTGTCAGAATCATCCTTTGGGATCTGTTGGGTCTTTGGAAAGTGGGACAGAAGTACCAGCAACAAAAGCACATCCATGTGTTGGAGCTCAGACACCAAGGGACCTGGATTGCACTTGGGAAGAATTCAGGGATCTTGGGCTTGTGGTCCAGAGCAGGGCTTTAGACAAATAATGGCAGCCACAGTGAGGGGCAGGGGGTCCCTCTTCCTCAAAATCAAACCAAGGAGGACAAAATATGGCCCCGGACACTATCACTAGAGCCCATGTACCCTACAAAGGCTCACTTTCTTCCTCTTTCATCAGTTCACAGTACACTCAGATTTCCATATCTGTAGGCTCTCAGCCAGTGGGTCCAGCTTCTAAGATCAGAAATGGTAGTGGAAATGGTAGCTTTGAGCAGGCAATGGCGGTGGCACTTCAGAGAGGGGAAAAAGAGTGGACTGGTGACCAAACACATCTCACACACTTTTGCACTTTTCTTTCCCTCCATAAGGAAGTAGAAGGCAGGGATCCAAGACCACCATTCTTCCATTTTCTAAAGTCCAGTAGTGACAAACCTGTGGCACACTTTTTTTTTATTTTTAGACAGAATATATTAACATATGAGTTATTTTTTTTCTAAGTTAAAATCTCAGTCTTCAGGTTTAATTGCAGCATTAGCACTTTGTAATAGACAAGTGGGTTTTGGGTGGCAGTTTGGGCACTTGGTCTCTAAAAAGTTGGCCCTCGCTGCCGAGTTCCGGGAGCCCCCAGACCCAGTCCTAGCCCAGGTCCGGTGAGTGTGCGGAGAGTTTCCTGCTACCCTGCGCCGGCGGGACCAGTCCCAGCC